CCTCACCTAACACCCACCCCTCATCCACCGGCCCTCACCTAACACCCACCCCTCATTCACCGGCCCTCACCTAACACCCACCCCTCATCCACCGGCCCTCACCTAACGCCCACCCCTCATCCACCTGCCCTCACCTAACACCCACCCCTCATCCACCTGCACTCGTCTTAAACTCACCCCTCATCCATTTGCCTTCACCTCACACTAATCAACAACCTCGCCCCTACTTCACACCCACCACCATACCTTATTTAATGCCCACTTGGCTCGGCCCTCACCCACCTGTCACATTTCTCTCTAAAGACACATTTCACAATTATCTGCTAATTTGTTAATTGTTTTGGGATCATCGCCTCCCTATCCTGCCTCAGGTCAGGTCTAATAAACTAGAAAGTAAATATTGCAAGAACAAAATATTAGAAAATACACAGGAAAGTAAATATATGTGTACACTTAATGTAAATGTCGTGCCGATTAGCTAAAACTGGCCAATTAGCAAGACCTCATTTAAAATTAAGTCCTTTCTAAAATTTTCTCTTATACATTTAAAGATATATTTTTTCCATTTATGTTAATATAAAGATTAATGATTGTGTACCAAAAGTACCTTAGGAAACTTACCTAGCTTATTATAACAAGCGCAATTTAATTTAGCCTAATCCAACTAAAAATATTTTATATAATTTTACAATAATTTAATAATAAACAAACATAAGAACATAAGAAAGAAGGAACACTGCAGCAGGCCTACTGAGCCATGGGGAGCAGGTCTATGTCCCCCACCCCCCGGAATAGCCCAATGACACACCCAGTATGGTAACTTCCACTCAAGGAGGTAACACGGCACCAGACCCAGCAGCACAAGCTAGTCAGATCCAACTCACACCCACTCATGTATTTATCTAACCTATTTTTAAAACTACACAACGATTTACCCTCAATAACTGTACTCGGGAGTTTGTTCCACTCATCCACAACTCTATTACCAAACCAGTGCTTTCCTATGTACTTCCTGAATCTGAATTTTTCCAACTTGAAACCATTTCTGCGAGTCCTGTCTTGACTGAAAATTTTCAGCACGCTATTTACACCCCCTTTATTTATTCCTGTTTTCCATTTATACACCTCGATCATATCCCCCCTAATTCTACGCCTTTCGAGAGAGTGCAGATTCAGGGCCCTCAGTCCATCCTCATAGGGAAGATTTCTGATACACGGGATCATCTTTGTCATCCTCTGTAAGTTTTCCAGAGCATTGATATCCATTCTGTAATACGGTGACCAGAATTGAGCAGCAGAGTCTAAATGAGGCCTAACCAAAGATATATAGAGTTGAAGAACAACCTGAGGACTTCTATTATTTATACTTCTAGATATGAAGCCAAGAATTCTGTTAGCTTTATTGCGAACATTAATGCACTGTTGTCGTGGTTTTAGATTACTGCTAACCAGAACTCCTAAATCCTTTTCGCAATCAGTAGTATTAAGATCTACATTTAGTTTATATGTCGCATGGTCATTTTCCTGTCCAACATTTAGAACTTTGCATTTGTCTATATTAAACTGCATCTGCCACTTCCCCGACCATTGCATCAATCTATTCAAATTATCCTGAAGTGCTCTAGTGTCCTCATCAGAATGAATTGGACGACATATTTTGGTGTCATCAGCAAATTTGCTTATGTCACTATTTATTCCCTCATCTATGTCGTTTATGTAAATTGTGAACAATAACGGGCCCAACACTGACCCCTGTGGAACACCGCTTGTGACGTGCCCCCATTCTGATTTTTCCCCATTTATGCAAACTCTCTGCTGCCTATTTGTCAGCCATGCCTCTACCCAGGAAAAAATTTCTCCTCCTATTCCGTGCGCCTTAAGTTTCCTCAATAGCCCCTGATGTGGAACTCTATCGAAAGCCTTACTGAAGTCCATATACACAATATCATATTCATTACCATGATCTACCTCCTCAAACACCTTAGTGAAAAAGTTAGTAAATTCGTCAGACAGGAACGCCCCTTTGTAAAACCGTGTTGAGATTCATTAATCAATCTGTGTCTATCAAGATGGCTACGAATTACTTCGGCAATTACTGATTCCATAAATTTTCCCACTATGGAGGTAAGGCTTATTGGTCTATAGTTCGAGCCAAGGACCTGTCACCTGCCTTGTAAATAGGTATTACATTTGCCATTTTCCACTTATCAGGCACTATGCCAGTTTGTAGTGATATGTTAAAAAGATTAGCCAAAGGTATGCTAAGTTCCTCTTTACATTCCTTTAACACCCTTGCAAACAGTTCATCAGGGCCTAGGGATTTGTTAGGTTTTAGTTTCTCTATTTGTCTGAGGACCATGTCACTAGTTACCGCAATCGTTAATAGTTTATTATCGTCCTGTTCTCATAATTTATTTTTCTAAAATTTCGCTAGTATTTTCCTGGGTAAAAACTGAGAGGAAGTAGGTATTGAGAATTTCACACATATCCTTATCTGACCAGAGTTACTCTTAAGTGGGCCAATCTTGTCCCTAATCTTACTTCTGTATACCCGAAAGAACCCTTTTGGATTAGTCTTTGAATCCCTTGCGACCTTAGCCTCATAATCCCTTTTTGCTTTTCTTATTCCTTTCTTTCTCTCTCTTAACTGAATATATTGATTTCTTAACTGCCCATCCCCTCTTTTGATACGCCTATATATGCCTCTCTTTTGACCAATGAGATGTTGAACCATATTTTTTTCGTTATGTTCAGAATGATTTTTGCAAAATTACTGCATACACAAATTGTCGCTTGCCCTATTTGGCAAGAAGTGCGTTGCTATTTAAGCCCAAATAGCGTTTTACATATTCGGCACGACATAAACAGAAGCTTGTAATATTTACTTGGTGACTCACAAATGCATGTCAGAAAGAAGATATCAGTAATCTTGTCAGTATGAACATTTCTTTTAGGGTTTCCTTGAGCACTCATCTGACAGGATTGTAGCGGTATGTGCCACGTGCAAATTTATATTCGATGTACATCATACAACCATATTCGTGCATGGTCACTGCTTGGCAGGATATATGCACCATCCTGGTACAGGATGGCCAAACTTGTTTCAGTGAGATAGGTGATGCCCCGTTGAAGCTTCCTCTCATATATGTTCACCAGACCATTAGATCCTCGCGTGCCTCAGAATGGCTCGTAAAATACTAGAATCAGTTTTTCTGTATGCGTGTGTACCCTCAGCTGTATTATTATAACCATAACTAAGAGCTAAATCTACAAGTTGCAGCAGTGAGTGTTCTCATATACAACCTCTCCAAACTCGCGCAATTGGGTTTAATTGGTTTATATTCACTAAACTGTAAATAATTGTTTATACGATCTGGTGGTAGACTACATGTTAAATCAATACCATCTTCTGCTGTATATTTCATTTATCTCTGACTGCCTTACTGACTGCGTTCTACACTTTTAGCTGGCACAGTCAGGCATAACTGGTCCAACTGAAATTACTTGTGCCCGTGATAACGGTAGTACTTACCTGGATGATTGTGTCTACCAAACTACTACCTCTTTTGACAGCACACTACTCGTTATATATACCCCACGATCAATCACCTGTACCCCTGGTTCTTTACTTGTGCATCTGAACCTTCACTTGTGACTCATCACTTATCAAGGACACCTTGGTCTTCATCGAAGACTAATACATCATTCAATCCTTTGTCTGACTATCTCCTAACTTGTTAATCTCATCCCTTATATTTACATACTGCCTTGCATTTGCACCTTTACCTTTGCACTTTTACATTTGCTACATTCTTGTGAGTAAATCACTGGACACGAGCCGTCGTCACATAATCCGTTTAGTGATGCAGCTGACCCTATGTGGTGGCGCTGCAAGTAGCAGCTTTTGGTTCTCGTCTTGACTGGCTTGCGTCTTTACATATTCATTCACACAACTGCATCTTCTTAATCAAGCTCATTTGATTTTCTCGTTTATCATCATGTTTGTTTACTAATATAATATATTTATGCCGTGATAAAACCGTGTGTGCCATTCAGCCCAACGAATCATGAAGGCTCAATCCTTTGTCCGCTAATCGCGAGACTGACTTAAGTCAAGCTTCCGTGAGTTTTGTTTATTAATCCGTTTAACATATAGTCAGTAGTGTGTGTAGCGTACTGTTGTTCTGCTGTTTCTGTCAAGTGTTGTCTTCGATGTTAGCATTAGTTTTTCTTGTATAAATGTCTTTGCTTTGTATTCTATTTGTGGGCACAGATATCTGAGTTATCTTACTGTCTGACAATATTCTAAGGCAATATATGTTCCTAGTGCGCCTTAGCATTAATTTTCCGAATTTCCTTGAACAATTCTGATATTGGTTCTTGTTTTGATTTTTCTGTCGACTTAGCCACATACAGTATATCTTTCCGTCTTTACAATGTTCTACAAGTTTACTATCTTTCCACTGTCTTCCCCTTTGCAACTGCCTTTTACGGCCCTCACCACTTACCTTCTTGTTTCACTTGGACTAACATTTACTTCTCATCCATAACCTTTCCGCCTTCGTTCTCTCTTTAACCTGTATCTACTTCTCAACTTTTCTTCCCTATCCTATCAACAACTTATTTCTTTCATATAACTGATAATTAACTCGTTATCAATGTACCTGATTTCCCAGTAGTTTCCTAATCTCTCACTTGAGCTAATGTCCAGTTGCCTTGAACCTTTAATGACCGCTCACTTGTGACCGTTATGTAGCAAGTGTGATCTTTCTCCTAATAATACCACCTTCACTTATGCCTATTGCTAATGCCTCTGATTTTTACTGCCACAAAACGAAATTTCGTACTATCATGAATAATACCATTAGGGAGGGGTTGTAAGAACTTCGAACTGCAAACCAAACCCGTTAGCCAGGCAAGTTACACCCACGAAATAAACATGAAAAATCTAATAATTTCTTTTCAGCTAGACACCTCATCAGTCCCCGTGATCAACTTACCTGGCCACCGCCTCACTGTACACGAAGCCAGACATCGCCCTTTTGACGATCTCGAAGCACAGGTCCGCCCCATCCATGCTGCGGGAGAGAAATATACGTGATTAGCCAAGTGGAATTGCCTTGTTAGGTGCCATGTGATGATGGCATCCCTGTCAGTACCAGGGGAAGAATGTAAGACACGAAATAAGGGACAAATGAGAGAGATATGGAAGATGAAAAATAAGAGCAAATAAAATTAAATACGAGATATGCTGTCGATATGTATAGCTTGTGCATCTCTTCTCCATCCTGCGGATGGTTGCACGAGAGCATTTGGATATACAAAGAACTATAAACTACGTGCTAAGATGGTTAGCAGGTCGACGTTTCGATCTTTTTACATTAGATCTTTATTACGTCATACAGAATATACACAACACACACACACACACACACACACACACACACACACACACACAACATATATATTATATATATATATATATATATATATATATATTATATATATATATATTAGATACACCTGAGGGGGGATGGAAAAAGAGGAGACGAACGACAGATATAGATCTGACAGGAAGAACCCTAACTGACTATGAATGAAGGGGAGTATTGGTCGATAACAGGAGGCAGGAAAAGCCAAGAGGGAAGACTAACAAGGAGTGAAGAAGAAATACTGACGAGAGCAGTAGAGGAAGGAGGAATGAAAGGAAATTTAAATGGAGAAGTGAAGGGTGATCAAAGACAACAGGGTGGAAGACAGTAGGGAAAGTGGAGTGATAAAAATATAAAAGGATGGAGAAGGGTAAGGAAGAGAGGATGGGAAGAGCAGAAAGGAAAAAAAGTAGTCTGGAAGAAGGAATTAAGCTGAGGAAATATTTCCTCACGTCCCAAGGATTCATTTATTTTGTTTACACAGAGTTTTACAAAATTAGGTTTAGTGCTCCTAACTTTATTTACAAGAGCTGTTACCTACATCAGCTTATCTGAAAGCCTTTTTAATGTTAAGAGATCGATGCCATTCTTGCCCTATACCTCTCATATCCAACAATATATCCCAAACGGTTCCGTCTTTTTTTTTTTTGAGTATCTTGTAGGTAGTTTCCATGTCTCCCATGATCCTCTTCTCTAAGGGCTTTCAGGTCTCGTATTCCCGAACCTTCAGTTCCCCTTTCCCTCTCCTCCTTTCTCCTACCTCTTTCTGCCCGATCGCGTGGAAAAGTTTCACAAAACCTGAGCGTTGTAGGGAGGGAGGTCACTTAATGCCTGTTCTGAGTTGTATATGATGATAAAGTAACGTGTGGGAACAAAGGAATACTTTTGTGTCTGGTTCCTTCCAAAAAAATTGCCAAGATACAGACTTTTTATTCGTATTACTAGTAGAATTAATCTTAGTAGCACTAGAAATATCAAAGTTTTGAAAAATAATTCTATAAATACTTGTTAATAATCCTATCACGAGAAATACCCAATTATAGTGACTGTGTACTCACCTAATTTTACTCAACTAATTATGGTTCCAGGGGTCGAGTCATAGCTCCTGGCCCCGCCTCTTCACTGGTCGCTACTAGGTCCACTCCCTGCTCCATGAGATTTATCATACCTCTTCTTAAAGCAATGTACTGATCCTGCTTCCACTACATCATTCTCCAGACTGTTCCACTTCCCGACAACTGTGTTAGTTACCATTTCGTCCTAGGCACATGTCGATTAAACACTAAGCCTATTGTATATGCGTGCGTGTGCGTGCATGTGCGTGTGTGCATGTGCGTGTGTGCATGTGCGTGCGTGTGTGTGTGCGTGTGTGTGTGTGTGTGTGTGTGTGTGTGTGTGTGTGTGTGGTGTGTGTGTGTGTGTGTGTGTGTGTGTGTGTGTGTGTGTGTGTGTGTGTGTGTGTGTGTGTGTGTGTGTGTGTGTGTGTGTGTCAAAAAACCACAAGAAGTTCTTCGCGCACTGTACGAAACGTTAACACGTCATCTCCCATCAATAAATGCTAATCATGAACCCGGAATTCATCAGTGTCATACACATATAACCCGCGCAGCCTAGTTATAGCCCTGCCGTCGACCTCCAAAGAGACGTCAACCCCAGTATATACAGTAGGTGCAAGAACTATTTACTACTGAGGATCGCAACAAGACGCAATGGACCTCAGCGTCCCTGAAAGTGGCACCATCAGTCAGTGATTCTGAATGTATCACAGCTGTCAGACAGCTACTCTACAACGGATTCATTGCAGCTTTAATTACTTATCTGGTTGCTTGTATATACCCAGGCTATCAACCCGAGCAGTTATACCTGGAGTATACCTGGAGGGTGTTTTGGTGATCAACGCCCCGTGTCCCGGTCCACGACCTGGCCTCGTGGTGAATCAGGACCTGATCAACCAGGTTGTTACTGTTGGCCGCACGCAAACCGACGTATGAACCACAGCCCGGCTGGTCAGGCACTGACTTTAGATGCCTGTGCAGCTCCTCTTGAAGACAGCCAGGGGTCTATTGGGTCTAATTGTGGTGTCTCTTAGGGTACTCGTGGCGCCCCTGCTTTTCACTGGAGGAATGTTGGATCTCCTGCCGAGTCTTTTGCTTTCGTAGGGAGTGATTTTCGTGTACAGATTTGGGACTCGTCCCTCTAGGATTTTCCATGTGTATACTATCATGTATCTTTCTCGTCTGCATTTTAGGGAGTACAAATCAAGGGACTTCAACCGCTGGTAGCTATTATTTTTACACAGACTTAGCTTTCACCAGCTGTACACCATTGTCAACCTATGAGGTACTTCTATTGCTTAGCTTAAGTTCACGTATACAATGGAGCGGAGGGAAGAGAGATACATGATAATATACACCTGGAAAGTACTCGAGGGCCGGAGCACAATTCTGCTCACTGCCATAACAACATAATGGAGTGAGAGATATGGAAGGAAGTGCAAAATAAACCCAGTGAAAAGCAGGGGTGCGGTGGTCACAGTAAGGGAACATCTGTGGCCCCAGATTATTCAACATCTTACCAGAAGATATCAGAAACACTGCTGGGATAAATGTAGAAATCTTCAAGAGGAAACTGGACAAGCATCTTCACCAAGTGCCCTATCAATCAGGCTGTGATGGATATGTGGAGCAGCGGGCCACCAGCAGCAATAGCCCTGCGTATGTGTGTGTTTGAGAGAGAGAGAGAGAGAGAGAGACAGACAGACAGAATTTAATAATACCGGTGCGCTAGCTCTCTCTCTCTCTTTCTCATTTACCCTTCAGAGAGGTACCTTCATAATCTTTAACCAAGGAATGTCAGCTACCTTCGCTTTCCTCGGATCAAATCTACAATTTCCCAGGAAATGAATTTCTTCAAGGGCTTAGCGCTGCTCCATGAATATTTTAATAGTAATTTACAAATGACAAACCTTTAACCTGTGATTAAAGTTGAACTTGTTCAATAAAGTATTTGTCTACACTGTCATAAAGTTCTCTTATAAACTGAGAGGCTAATACTAGAGAATAATACTTACATTTTCTATCCATTTTTTGATGCTTTCATTGTTATATTCATGGGAAAGCGCCAATGGGAGGTGATCAGGTTTGATCCGAGGAAAAAGTCAGCAGCTCAAATTCATAGTATCAAAACCCATTCACAAGCATCAGCTGATGTGTGCAAAGTATTAAACAAAATTAAAACTCCATATTTTTAAGAGTACTGCTAATTATAATTTTTTTTAACATATTGGCCGTCTCCCATTGAGGCAGAGTGGCCCAAAAAATGAGGAAACATATCAGCAATCATTCATGCAATGTCTTGCCAGAAGCTTGCTGACATTACAGTGGGATGCGCTGTAATTGTTACATATTTATATGTTATCAGTACCAGACCAGCCTGGCTCAGGGCCGATCTGCGGGAGTAAGAAAACTCTCAACATCCATCAAAGGTATATCAAGGGCCAATAACAGTTCAAGTGGTGTAGCCTGAACAGTTGTAATTGACCGCAGTGCTACACAAGTATGTTTCCTTTTTTTTATATCAATAATAAAGTTGTAATATCAATGAGAAGTATATCCCTTAACCTCCTAGCAAATACATTTTGCTATTATTGCAATAAGGAAGCTTCACTCACAGTGACTCGTGATCATCCCTCGCTGGTATTCTCACTGACCCACCTAACACTTTTTAACTTTTTTTCAGGCCCTCTTCCTTCAAGGGAAATCCCTTGACGCCCGTGAAGAGCTCTTGATCTAGGGAACTGGGTTTCCCTCCACTTTGGTCAAACCTGACTGCAAATCGTTCCTCGTTCCCCAGGGACAGTATGACTTTTACGGGCTTAACACTTCATTATTATTATTATAATCAAAAAAGAAGCGCTAAGCCACGCTTAACACTTCAACATACTGGAAAACAGGTATGGTGATACCCACAATATTTTCAAGTTATTTCATGTCTAGAACTGTGCCTGTATCTTATCAACAATAATTTACTAACCCTGCGTAACCATTCCTGGGTTAACACATACTCATGGATATACTGTAACAGTACAGGTTTTAAAGGAAGAGTCAATATTATACATCCTTGAAGTTTTTATTTAGATTACGCTGCTTAGTTCTGATCTCCATATTACACATGGACATAAATGTGATGGAAAATATACGATAAAAAAAAAGAGTTAACGTATCAGAAACCTTTTCTAGGATGATAGGCAGAAGACACTGCATTACTGCATTTGCGCTCTACAAAGACGTAGAGTTGGGAAGTGGTGGCTAAAATGTATAAATGGAAAACAGGAATAAAAAAACGTGTTAAAAGTAATTAACCAACACCAGACTCACTGCACTGGCTTTAAGTTAGACAAACTTAGATTTAAAAAAGAAACAGAGAAGTACTTATTTGGCAAGTGAATTTCAGACGAGTGGAACAAACTCATAGACAGCATCACTGAAGCAAGAACTTTGGATAGCTTTAAATGTATATATGTTGGTAGAATTACCGACAATATGTAAAGTAAAAGGACACAAGTGCAACTAATGTGACATTTTATTGTGGCAACGTTTCGCTCTCCAGGAGCTTTGTCAAGCCGTAACGGCTTGACAAAG